CGATTTATTTATGCCAAATTATTTGCCGAATTATATGGTAGAAATAGATTGACGATTTATTTATGTCATTAATATGCTGAATTATTTATTTTTTTGATGAATGTTATACGAGTGGCATTATGCCGAATAAATATTTTTCGACTAGTGAATAATAATATAATGAATTAAAAAGATGTTTATTTAAAGACTATTGCAAAGTAAAATATTATTTTTATTACTATTTATGATGAGTTTGTTAAATTTGATAGAAATATTTAATTATAATATATATCATATTACTTAAATGAAAATATACTTATATTTTCAATTGATTAATATAATAAACTATGATCTAATTTGACTATAAATATTATAAAAAAAAAAATAATTAATTAATTATTAAGTTACAAACAAAAATAAAAATAAGAAATTTTTTGTTTCAAACCAATTTATATTTTTTAAATAAATATATATCTTTCAATTTAATAAGATTATTAGTTATTTATTAAAAAAAATACATATATTATTCAACTCCAAATTTTCAACCAATAAAATTTTAATGAACTTGATATAAAAAATCAAACTAAGATAAACAAAATCTTTAAACTTGCTACAGTATAAGATAACTTGGGACCTAGAGAATTTTCTGGAAAACAAGGCCTTGACTTAGTGCTAAACTTTTAATTGGTTGAAAAGGCATGTCCCAAAGATGTTAATAATATAATTTAAATAGTAACCAATAATATACTATATATTGTAAAATAAAGAAAGAAATTAAAGGTCGATTATGTGATTGGCTTAAGATGTCTTTTTGCTGTTTAGAATAATTTGATTGGTTTTTAATTTGAACCTATAACTATAACTAAAATTAACCAGCAGCATTTCTAGTAATACTTGGAATTATTTTAATCTAAAATGATAGAGACAAGAAATAGTAAGCTCAAAAAGAGTCGGGAAATGAGCACAAATGATCACGATACGTCCCGCAAACGCACCTCTGATGCACTAGATTTAAGGTTGATGAAACGTATACATACCGACGATGCAGAATTTGTGGAAACAACTCTTTCAAACATACGTTCTTATCTTTTGTCAAAGGCTTCCAAACAACATGCCAAATTTATGGCAAAATACCTTAAAATAGTAGAGTACGATGAAGGAGACATTCTGATGGGAGTGAAGGTACCGGAAATTCGTCTGTTGTCGAAGAGTTTGGGATTTCTTCCTTTTTCGGTTCTAAGAAATCTTGCAAAATCAAGTTATCACGAAGAGAGATTACTAGCAGTCGTTAATGTGACGGAAAAATTTAAGATTTCTCAAGATCCTATAGTGCATGAAAGCATATTTAAGTTTTTTGTCGAGGAAATGAGAGAGGGCATCAACAATTGGGACTTGGTAGATTCATCCGCAAGTCAAATCGTAGGTGCATATTTAAGAGACAAACCCGACCTGAGGCGTCTATGGCTTTTTGATAAACTCGTAAAATCGAGTCGATTTTGGGACCGAAGAATTGCTATAGTTGCTACACAAAACTTCATTGTTCACGGACAGTATGAAGACACTCTTAAATTGGCAGTCATTCTGCTACACGACAAAGAAGATTTGATACATAAAGCTACAGGTTGGACCCTGCGTGAGATGGGAAAGGTAAATTGATCATAAACTCGATGGTTCTGTTTTTACAGATTATCTATTGATGTCTGGATCCCGTAGATGTCGAAGGAAACGCTTGTCAAGTTTCTGGATCAACACGCGCAGAGTATGCCAAGGATAATGTTGAGATATAGTATCGAGAAATTTTCAACACAAGAACGTAAAATGTACATGAAAAATGGTAATCGGTGATCCTCTCAAATTTCCTAAGCATTTATCGTATTTCCCGTATTTCCGAATAATAAGATCAAGGACATTTCACTTTCTCTTTGCCCTTTTATTGCTGCGGCTTGATCTTTGTTGTTTTCCGTTATCTGTTTTCGCGCTTTCTTTAATTGATGACTCAACCGTTTCCAGAATCTAACCAGGGAGAAACAATGTTTAAGTTGAATTCGTGAATGCGTAATTACAGAATGTTGAAAAAGCGGCGCACCTCTCCACGTTGTATGCGTCTTATATTGGCGATTTGTGCTTGAACATTTTCAAGTTCTTGTTGTAGTCGACGAAGCTCTTCGTGTTTTGATTCCAAGACTACATTTTTAAATGTGAATGAAGATAATCACTCATACCCACCTGTATGATTCGGATGAAGGAAAAAAAAAAAAAGAGCCATGTTACCTAATTGTTGCTTAAAAATTAATTGTAGTCATAATTATTTAAATGGATTCTTCTATCGAACAACAATGACTTTTATCGAAAAATGAGTTAATATTTACGTCTTCAGGCCTTGGCAACTCAATCTTATTCCATTCTTCCTCTGTGATCTCATATCTGTGTTTGTAAAAAAAAAAAAAAAAAACAAAGCAAAGAAACATTCAGGTCTTATCCGCTAAAAACCGACCATTTAGATTGACATGACATACAATTGCTTATTTTGCAACAATCTTCGTTTAATTTCTTCTTTTGATAGTTTTCCTACAAAATAAATACAAGCTTACTATTAATGAGTATAAACGTCATACAAGTTACGATCATGATGAAATTTACCTCCGGTGTTAACGATGCAATTGTTTTTACGCTTTATGTTTGGACCTTGAATTTTTGAATTTTTTTCTCCAATAACAAGAGGATCAATGTGTAGACCCGCAAATTCTAACATTTTTGGTATACCTTATGTTAACCCTAGACATACTCGAGGATAAGAGGCGATCTCCTTTACCTGCTGTACTTTGCTGCCCCAGCATTCTTTGCAGCTGTAAATTCATTTGCGCATTAGTCTTTCCGGGTAGACACTGTGAATCAATGATTTTCGCCCAGTTTCCTATTCCAAACTTCATTAGCGCCTTCCGTAGTATGTCACTCTCCTCTCGTGACCAACCTGTTATTCTTTAATTTAGTAAAGCTCAACGTAAGTTAGGACTCGTCACTTTTCATTACCAGGAGAGAGAGTGCAGTTCCATAGACTCGCCGAATCATTGGACCGGAGCACATTTCTCGGTCCACTGGGCATGCTCTGAGGTTTTATGTCCTCTTCGAGTGTCGGGGTCATCATTAATAAATTTGAGCTCGAAATGAATCCAATTTTAAAACAATTGTTTTCGACGCGTAACGAATATCAGCACGTGATTAAAGAGGGAAAAAAAAAAACTTAATATATTAAATTATATTTGAAACAAAGGGTTCTAAATGGTTCCAATGTAATTGAATTTGCAGAACTTGCAGATGATAGACGAATCACTCGCATTTAACAAATTGATAATCACACGTGATGAAGTATTGTTTATTTTTAAACAGGAAAATGTCGTGTTAGGTTGTCGTGTTTTATACGTACGTCTCGACCCGACTAGCATAAATAACGCCAACACTGGAAATTTTATGCTTCATACCTAATAACATACTTTAAGAATTGCGATTTTCTTGCTACTTTGGCTGCTGAAATGACGGAATTAAAGGTAAGACGAATTCAATTCGCAAGACACATTCAGTTCAATGTAGTTTCATATGCACGTCTCTTGACAGCTTATTGGTTTAATGCAAAATTTATTATGCTTGAATGTACCATAGGTTGAGAGCGCCGGACAATTGGAATCTGAAATCAAAAAAATCCAGGAAACGTTTCAACAAAAAGAAACCGAACACACGTGGCAATTGTTTGATGATGCAATAAAACGTCTGATAGCCTTGTGTCGTGGTGGTGCCGTCAATTATGAAAAGTCATTCTTAAATGGAGTTAAATCGTTAAGGCAACCTATTGTGGATTCGGTAAGTATTAGTTGAGTAACGAAAGGGTTTCTAATCTTCACGTAAGACACCATGAAATTTATCAGTGTTTGTTTGATTAATTTTTTGCGAATAGATGCTAACAGAACGGACACGACTGTCTGGGACCGCGACCGAATTTGTAGAGGAACTTGCTAGGATTCTCGGGTCAAAATTTGAATCTTTGTCTGAAATGTATGTGCCTGCAATTTTAAAGTTGTGTACGCGCGCCAATAAGATTTTTGTCAGTCGAGCCCAGAAGTGTATGATATCCATTATTCGTTGTTGTCAACTTCCAAGTTTGCTACCAAAGCTCAAAGAATCGATGCAGGGTCAGAGTAAAACACTGAGGACCTGTGTGGCCGAATTTGTGTTAACCATTATTGAGGTTAATGATGTTGGAAACTTGAACAACTATATTTCTGATTTGGAGTGGTTAATAAGAGAGGGAGCCATAGATTCTACTCCGGCCGTCCGTTCGACCATGAAAAAGACATTCGAAATTTATAAAACAAAATTCGACTTGCGATTAGGAGAGTAAGTATGCAAAATTTTAGAATTCGGATCGAGCTTATTTCGTCAGACGTTAATTAAATAATTGTTCTTCAGTTTTATCGCCACCTTACCTTCTCAAGTGAAAAAAAACTTGAATGTGCAAGAACAATTGACGACAATTAGTCAGCGCCCACGAATTAGGGCGTTACAGCAAAATCGCAAAGAGAATGCACAACCGCCACAGGATGATGTTGTCATATATATGAAAGATGAAGAGAAGTCGAGTAACAAAGGTGTTTTTATTCCCGAGAAAAAGGCTGTAAAGAAAGAAGAAAATGAATTTACGATTGATTTCAGATTACCAGCGTCGAAAAATAAGTCGGAGAATTCGGTGGCAGCAGAGAAAGAAAATCCTAATCCGTCAATCATGCCAGTCGTACCATTGTCAAATGAGAATAATAATCATAATAATAATAATGGTAATTCCCAAAAATCAATTATCTCGGAAGACACCACTTCCTTTATCGTCGCATTTGATGAACCGCAAAGCATGGGCACCACGACGACAGTCACCGGGTTTGCTGCGACAAAACGACCAAAGTTGTCGTCAGCTCAACGTTTTAAGTCCCAACCTGCCATCACCTCAACCGCTCAGCGCGTACCCTCCAAACCTGTTAAAGCACAATCGACCAGTAGTTTAACTACACTCAATCGAGATAATCCAACTGGTAACGGTGAGTTAGATAAATAAGCTAGTAAAAAAAAAAAATTTTTTTATTGCATAATATATACTCGTGAAAAAAAAAAAAAAAAAAAGGAAAAAAAAAAAAAAAAAAAAAAAAAAACCAAAAACAAAAGAGAAATTTTTACTGATATAATATATAAAGATTAGATATAATTATTCATTACATTATAATACCTACATTACTGACATTACATACAAAAGGAGGGGCTCAGCGTGTTAGGCCCAAGGATCGTGCAGGCGCAGGAAATGAGGAAAAGACGAAGGCTAGCCGTGTTTTGAATACCAACAAGACTAACACGAAATCCGCCCGACCTCCACCACCACGCACAATAAGTGCACCAACAGTTAGTCCTTCCAAATCCGACAAAAAAGTACAACCACCCGTCAACATCAAGAAAAAGTCGGCGCCTGTTACCTACGGCAGACCTGCGGCGAAGGAATCAAGGTCTATAATGAATTCTACGCCAAAGCCGACAAAAGTGACCGCGACTGCTACTACGACTGCTGATGGATTGACCACAACTGCCACCATATCAGTATCCATATCTGCTGTCTCTACACCAGTCAATCGAGCACAGGTAACACCCGATAAAAACGCGGTAACATCGAGTGCACGTCTTTTTGGCAGAACCAAAGATCGCCAATTCACTCCGTACCAAAAACCGGCCATCGGATTCGCTACTAGAAAATTTAAGGCACGGTCAATACCCGACTCCTTGGAGTTGAACTCTAAAATCAATGCCTATGCCAACAAACTTATTGAAGAATTAACAGGACAGCGAGAGATCATCAGTGAAAATATTAATGATGAAGTCATTTCGGTCGAGTTGACGAAAATTGAAGAACAAATCTTCGAGACCAATCCAGTAAGAAGCAGATTGTCACTAAAACAAGCGCTTCCTGCCACACAAGTTATTACACCTCTTCCAGTTGACCCAGCACCACCGCTTTCATTTGTCGATCCGGTGAAGTTTTTGGAAGATGTCCGTGAGGCAGCGGAAACAAACAAAGAGAATGAAATGATTGGAGAGAACGATGATAAGGTAATAGTTTCAGACGCCGTCACCAAATCCGCCATTTGTGAATTGGTTGAAAGGACCAATGAAGTAAAAATAGAAGGTGAATGATACACTGTGATGCCGCAACCCATGAGATAATTATATGCAGGTCCTTTTGTTTTTATTTGTTTTAGGCTCTTGAATTCAAATCGGAATATACAAATCGAGTTAGGGGACGAGAGACAGTATACATTGTATAAATGAAGTATTCTGTTAGTATTATACACAAGACATTTGTCTTATATTTTTTATTTACCAAATCAAATTTAGGATAAGACTTTGGTTATAAAATGTTCAAATGTGAACAATCAATAGAATAAAGGATAAAGTGGTATATATGTTTTCTGGGCAGGATGTGTAAATAATGCGCTAGAATTATAAAACTTCTCACAATGATTAAAAAGGTCGACTGGCAGAATAAAATTGTAGATTCGTTTATCATTAAGTCCTAATAAAATCTTTGTGAATATACAGTATATATAGTATACGCTGCATATGTTTTTTAATTACGCAATTTGTGTGCCGCATAATAAAGTAAACCGTATAATATCTTATATTTATAGGGACCCTCCACCGGCCTACCACGAAATGCGACCTAATGTTTCCTCTTACAATTCTCTTCGAAATGCAAATAACCTTAATAATGAAACAGGTACCCTCACTTTAGTTTCACTAATCGGGACATAAATGAGGAATTTTATGGTTTTGGTTTAAGTGGGCATAATGGTACTTTAGACGACACGATAACTGATGTATAGGTAAAACTCATCACATCAAATGTCTTTTAGATAAAAATTATTATTATTATTTAGCCTTCTGTCACGTACTTTATTAAACTTTTATAAACTGTATGTAAAACATGTATTTCTAAAGTTAATTCTCTAACTCGCTGTCTTAGTTTTATCGATCTATTAATGATTCAGGTGAAAACTTTCAACTATCAAATAGATCTCTACTATAGATTACTATCAAGTTTGATAAAAATCAAAACCCAACTATATTTTTTTTCTTTGTCACATTTTTCATGAGATCTTTATTTTTAAATCTTCATTTTTTATTTTTTGCCTAGATTAAAAGATCTTTTTTAATAAAGATTTTTTGGCATACTAAGATTTGACAAATCTTGACAAAATTCATTAGAATTTAAATCAAGTTGACAATATACTATATGGTTATATATATAGTAGAAACTTGATACAATTTGATACAATTAATTGAATTACTATATATTTAATATACTGTACATATGATTTGAACTAGATTAATTTTTTTATTAATAAACTTGTTTTAAAAAACTTTTTTCACTTTACATGTAAAAAAGATATTTGCAAAAAATTTTTTATTTCTTTGCTAATAAAGTCTTTTTATTATTTTTAAATCAATTTGAAGTTTTATATCAAAAGATAGGTATTCTATATAGTTTTTGTTATGAATTATAAACTATAGAATTTTATTTAATTTATCAAATAGTGCAACAGAAGCATTACTAAAATTTATAAAGTTGGTGTTAACTAAAATTAATAATAAAGAACTTGAGCTTTTTTGTGAGTCTTTATATATTATTAATAGTATACTTGAATTATCAAACTAATTTATTAATTTTGTGACATGTCAAAGATATTACAAATTATATAGATAGAATAATGTACTTGATTTTTAATAAATAATTAATCATTAATCATAAAATGTGTTTATATTGAATTTTCTAATTTAACAATAAAATAAAGAAAAACTTACAATTATTTATTATTATACAATTAGAATTATTAAACAAAATATAATTAATTAATTCAATTTAGTTTTTTCATATTTTACTATTCAATATTAATTGTAACAAATACAGTTGCTTTCAAAAGTTTGAGTTCACTTACTATGTTTTTATTATAAATTTTAATTTTAACAATTTTTAAATCCTTAATTATATAATCAAAAATTATAAAATTTATATATATTATATCTTAATACTAGTTTTATTT